AACCGCCTTCTGAAAATGTTTCGGTCGGTCGGGCGAGTGACACACGGAGTAATTGCGTCACCTACCACCGCGCGTGTTCGGGCTTGTGACGCAGTCGATGGAATAATGGCTTATGGACATTAGCTTCTCTCCGTTCCCACCCAAGTAATCTGCAAACTGATACCGTGAACCAAACCTATGCGTCATTTGATAGGAAACTATAATTTCAACCCCCTGCTACTGTATTAAACGTTAAACTAATCGCGTTACATCTTAGGTCGGAACGCCACGTGAGTTACTCATTGAAATGTGTCCATATAGGGGATATCTATGGGAAAAGTAACGAAAATATTCCTACATAAACTTCAAGGCGCTACAGCTCCAAATACATTACTCAAACATGCGTAAATAAAAGTACCCTAATGGGGTCACAAAGAAGGGTGGCAACATCCGAGAGTAGAGAATATGTGTGAATAAAGCTTTTAACAAGATGATACGAAAGATGCCAACTAAAACTATTCAGTTGATGCTAACATCATTTGGAGAAGCCACAATAACCTGAGTCCAAGTTTCTCATTGGTTCCACAGCATTGAAAAGGAAGATATGTTCATTAAAACTAACGAGTGCTTCAAACACTAAGTTCAAGTGTGCATTTGTTTTTTTTTTAAGTATTGTCAGTAACTCATATTGTATCATGCGGAAGGATTTTGTGTGAAATGGCAGAATACTATTTGTAAATAGGCTGGAGAAGTAGAAATTCTTTCTGGCTCATGTCAAGGTTATTTTAACAGAAATTCTGGGAATGAGGCATGTTTCAGCCAAGACTGTTTCATAACTGCTGATGTAGGAGAAGGAACCCCACTTGCCTGAGGCTTCAGATATGCCTCAATGTGCATAAGCAAATGATAACTTCCTAAAAAATATGTCATGATAAGATGGGTCTATGGCTATGATCCTGAAACTATTCAGCATTACCATAAAAAGCACATGAAATGCACAGCAAAACCAAAGTAATGTTAATTGTTTTCAAGTGTAAGGATGATGAATACTATGGGAATGCTCCACAAGGTCAGACTACTAACCAACATTTCTATTTACAAGTGTTGAGACATCTCTGCAATGCAGTGTTGTAAACAGCCATAAAGTGAGAATTTATTTTGCAATAAATTCCATGTGAAAACGCTAAACTTAAAGAAAGGCAAAACAATTCATGATGATGAGAGGTCAGCTCTCATCCTTATAAGCACAGTATTATAGCATGTAGACCTGTTGCATGGTTCTCCTCAGCTGCCCTCCCCCAAGGCAAATGCCAGGACAATACTCAATTAGGCCATGACCACTTCCTTCCAAATCCTTTTCTATTCATCCTACCATCTATTACTGTACAGTCTAAATACGGAAAGCGCCATTAAATAAGCCAATGAAAAACAGAAAGAAATTTAAAATATCTGTATATATTTGAATACAATTATTGCAGAAAAATGTCATAATATAAAGACACCTAATAAATCCTCACAAAAAAATGTGGCAAGTTTTTAAGTATCTGGGAACAGAAGTAACAAATCAGAACTATAGTTAGGAAGAATGTCTTCTATATAAATTGAAAAAATTTGAAATATATTTTATAAAAGTGTACTTTTATCTGTTGTGTTGTATGGGTATGAAACTTTATCTCTCAGTCTAAGGGATAAGGTTAGACTGGGGATTTTTTGAAAATTGGGTGATGAGAATATTTGGATGGATCTTAGGGAGATAGGATGGGATGGTATGGATTGGATAGATCTGGCTCAGGATAAGGACCAGTGGAGGGCTCTTGTGAACATGGTAATGAACTTTTGGGTTCCATAAAATGCTGGCACATTCTTGAGTAGCTGCAGAATTGGCGGCTCCTCCAGAAGGGCTCAGCTCCGTGAGTAAGTAAGAGGAAAAATAAAAGGAGGGTCGAATAATCTGCACTCTTCGCAAAATAATGTTCCAGTGATCAGGTCAAGGAAGATGAGCTGTGTGGGACATGTAACACATATGAGAGGGATAAAAAAATGCATACAAAATTTCAGTCAGAAAACGTAAACTGAATACTTGGAAAGACCTATATACAGACGGGAGTATAATACTGAAGTGGATCTGAATTATATAAAGTGTGAGGGTGTGCCCTGGATTCATCTGACTCAGTTTAGGAACCTACTGAACACAATAATGAACCTTTGGGTTCCTTAATAGATGAATGACTGTTGGACTCTCATCCATGGAGACAGAAAAAAAAAAAAGTAACTAAAGGTATCCTTGTAACAGGCCTTGGAGGCCCACAGGGTTGTGAGATGTTGAGGCTCCCACATTTTCTAGACAATCGGCTCAGAGATGGTGGTGAGGTTGTCAGCCCTAAGTGCCAGCCTCCCTTTATCCCCAATAATATTGTAAGAATATTCCTGATACTCATTTCTGTTAGAGGCTGAGTCAAGCCCAGGGCCACAGTGTGGCTGGAAGGATTAGGTAAATTGAAAAAATCCAATGAACTCATTAGGATTTGATCCCGCGACCTTCCAGCTTGTAGCATAGTGCCTCAACCAACTATGCTACTGCATACCCCCCAGTGGAGCCATAGACAGTTACGAATATATTTGGCATTAAAAAACGTTCCTCACAAATATTATAAGGAGTCAGGATAGCTCAGTCACTATAGCAATTAGCTATGGGCTGGATGGTCAGGGTTTAATCCCTGGCAGAGGCAAGAGCCTCTTCTCTACTCCAAAGCAATCAGGCTGACTCTCATGTCACCCAGCATCATATCCAGTGTGTAGAGGGATTCTTTTCCTTAGGGTAAACGGACAGGGCATGCTGACCACTGATCACTATCTAGTGCGGAGGTCAAAATGGTGGAACCATGCCTCCACTCCCCCATATGCCTTAATGGCATAGTGCTTAATTACTTAAGTACAGGGACAACTTCACCTTTTTCCTCCATTATTATAGGATTCACTATAATCCAATTCACATCGACACAAACCTAATGTCATCATCCTATTCCTGTCAGCGGTACTAATATATTTTCACAGAATGCTTCTATTAACATTATGAATACACTTCTTGCATCCACGATCCATGCTAATATTTCTCATGCATCTCAAGTTCCTTGCTTTAATTATTCTGGGTCTGGAACGGGGTCCACTCAGCCTCGTGATCATAAATGAGGAGCTATTTCAAGGAAATAGTGGCTCTGGTCTAGAAACCCGAAATTAACGGCTGTGGGGATTCGTTGCGCTGACAACACGACACCCTCTATCAGCAAAAGCTGGCACTAAACTTTGCCGACAAGCGGCGGTCGCTTGGTCAGTATAGTTCGCTTGTGGGCTAAAATCACGGAGTTGAAAATAATTCAGGACAAAATAAAAATGGTTTTGAGTGTTTACTGGTAACTTCATGAAGGTTACCTGATGACATTGAGTGAATTGGAAGAGCTATAAAGTTCCTTGGTATGTAATTTCCACTGTTTCCTTGTCAGTACATCTGTCCTAAATCTAAATGTTCTTCCTGTCACTTTCTTGTAAAATATCTAAATGACCATTCAATTAATTTTATGATTAATATGAATCCTGAAGGTAGCAAATACAGTTCATTATGTTCAAAATAAAATCCCAGGGAGTAACACTTTGTTTTCAGCTTTATAAAGATTACACAGTCACCTTTTTTTTTTGTGAGTCCTGACAATCGGAAATCAGAACAATATGCTCAAAATCAAACTCAGGAAATGGCTCGGTTTGTAACTTCATAATGATTATGGAGTCAGCATTTCTCTCTGCTTCCTGAGAGTAATGAGTCATATCAACTTATTACACTTCTTTATCTAAGAAACCACTGGATTTCATGATACTCATAATGATTCTTGTGGATGTGGAAATATTNTAATAATAATAATAATAATAATAATAATAATAATAATAATAATAGTGATAATAATAAATAATAGTAAGAATAATAAATTCCGCGATTTTAGTCCGCAAGTGAACTATACCGACCAAGCGACTGCTGCTTGTCGGTGAACTTAGTGCTAACTTCAGCACAACAAAAACCCATGGCCATTAATTTCGGTTTTCTAGACCGAAGCCACTATTTCTGAACAGTTCTTAAAACTAACCTCTTCTAACATAGTTAACAAAGTTCAACCAAGTTTTCTGTTTAGTTTTTAGGACCATTAAGTACTCAAATAAATTCAATGTCCATCTCCACCACAATGATATCTGCATTTGTTCCCACCCAACTCACAGATGACCTTATACACAAACTACCATTTACTGTTGGTTTATTTATTTGAAATGCATGAATTTCAATCCTTGAGGAAGAAGAAACACATGCCTGTTCTTACTTTTTACAAAGAATACGACAAAGTCATTAATTCCCTGAACCTCAAAACATTCTGTTTAGGAGCGGAAGTAAATAGTGCCTTATTATATCTGTCCGAGAGGTCAAAAGGAAACTCAATTGTAAATTTTAGGAAATGCCACATGCCTCAATTTTACTTGATGAGCAAACTTTTCAGATACATTAAAACCATTCTGTCAGCTACTGAATTAAAAATTTTACCAACTCATGTCCTGAGGACATGGTTTAGAATGGAACACAAACCATATTCTGGACTGTTAGTAATATTACATTCTACACTTCTGTTACAGGTTAATGGCAATTCTAAAGTTCTGATCCATTGCTTTCATAGAATATCACTTCAATGAGTTCTGTCTTTCACAGTAAAACGTGACTAAGATTACACATGGTGAACTACTGGTTTAACAAACCTATATGATGGGCAAGTCCGGACTAACCATGAACCCAGACCCCAAAATGTGCAACTATACACACTTATATGTGTACAAACAACTGATTCGTACTGTATATCACAAAACTGACAAATTAAACATAATGTCGTAACATGGTTATTTATCTCCTCCAAACACACCACGAGCATGTTAATACAAAAATTAAAACTAAGACACTGAAAATTACGTAAAGAAAATAATTTAAATCCTACCCTCAGAAGTGCACGTCGTCGAAGCAGCATTTGTATGATGCCTTTTCTTCTTAGATAAAGAACACTTTTCACTGCAACCATTAGTCCTGAACAAATAAATATGGGGCCGACTAGCCACATATGTCCCAAACTACTGAATATATAGCCATCTGAATCTCCTAACGCGAGTACAGTGATCACAGTTCCTACTGCAAACAGCACCATTGAAAGAGCGAAATATGAGTAAGAAGTACAATCACATTGTCCAAACGTTGATGGTTCCGGATACAACTGATCCATTTGCCGCAACCTGTGCCGCAAGTATGCATTTTCCAGTACTGACGACATGTCTTACACAGGTACGACTAACTACTTTTACACCTCAACTGAATAAACACAACGTGTCAACACTATCAAACTTCAATTTCAACGAGTTATTCAACTTCAACCTTGGATCAAAGCTCAAGGCCATCACTGTTTTGATGACGCCTCTGACATCTTGCAGAAGTTATGTGAACTGTAAAAGAGAAAACCACAACATATTAGAACACTTATGCTGCTATGGCCCACGACTACATTCCTTGCCAGCTCCTGCCATTATGACAAAGATGACAAAATACCATACACGCCATACACAGCCTGCAACTGTTGCCATCTAGTCGATGATAGATTTAACTACTTGTCTACAAACACGTACAGCCCGCCGCAAACGGCGCAAATTTTTAAACTGATTTTGTAAGTTACTTGGACTGCACGTAAGAATGGTATGCTACACAGAATGGGGAAATAGAGGAGCGCCGTATGGCATGTGGACTGAAAACAAAGACAGTTATAAATGGCCTACTAACAAACTGCATTCTTATTTGCTTCAGTATGTGAACAGACAGTAAAACTGCGCATTAAGTGAACAGGAATATATCGTCACACGTATCAACACCATATTCACACATGGTCACTGTCTTGAAAACAACACGTTATATTAATCCATTGCTCAACATCATAAGGCTTATTTACAGTCACAATGCCAAAAAAAAATTGCTCAATTATTATAAATTAGGAATTTCTTTATTACTCTGTCAATCTCTTGCTCATAAGTCCCATGCACCTTGATACAAATGGAGATACTTTTCACAAGATGTCTTTACTTCAAAGGAGAACCAGCACGCTGATACAGCTTTCGGTGTTCATGATAGCCCATTCATGACGAGACACAACTACAAGTAGAGCAACCATGATATGCAAACTCGTTTCTTGAAATATTTCCACACGCGCTGCAATCTGAATCAGGATACATGTATCGTCATTTCTATTAACATGCATGGAGCATGGGGGGATTAAGTATGTGTCCATGAACGAGTAAATATATGCACATACATACATAGACGCCACAGAGAAGCGAAAATTATATGCCAAGTTGTACAGCTGCTAATTTTCAGAGTTACTAATATTTCTGCATAAATATAAATGTCTTGTTGAAACAAATGTTTATTAACACAAGCCTTTTCACGCAACTAACAAGTATTGCAGTCTGCACAGAATGAATTCCTTGACTCCCTTGGAGTGTTCCGAGATGGACAGTGACTGTTTATTTGCGTGCGTGTAAATGTTTGCGAAGTAACCGAGTGAAGACGTAAATGACAGAAATATTTAGTCTGAACAACGTTTCCGTACAAGGCACAGCCAAAGATAGTCTCCGCCTCCAAGCTCAGTTACTAAGAAGCATTTTATGGAATATAAAGGCACTAAACATTTGCCCAACTATAAAACCCGCGAAAAAATTCTCCAGTATAAGCGGACTAACACTGGACACGTATTTACGTAACAGATCCTGCTTTGTGTTGTAGAAGTCCGTGCGGCCAGAAATGTACTCCCTGAACACTGCCACGACCTCTGACGTAACAATTTCGACTGATGAAGGTCGTCATAGAAGCCAGTATTTCAGAAGGCATTATATTGTAGAGAACCAAACTACTACAAACACTCACCTACTGGAAGCTGTGTTGAGTTCTATCTGCTGATGTATGGGTATGTAATACCAGTTCAATACCAATTGTAACTTTAATTAGGTATTCCAGAATTGTCGTCGACAGGTGGGCCTCGCCACACCTCCCATTGACATGCTTCAACACTACAAGGTTGGTCACGCGATGAGAAAGAAGATGAGTGCAACAGATTTACGGTGTGAATGTAAGCGCAATTTGTGTGTCCTAACGAGTTTAAAATAATTTACCGATTTTCATGAATCTGGTTATCACCCAGAGACGTTAATTGTAATTATTTCTTATTAGCTGGCAAAGAAATGAATCGGTCTTTTAGCATAAGCACCTAGCGCGGATGGATACAGTCGCTTTGGTACGCGATCGAAAGAAAATGGTATACTCTCAGCCTCCCGCTCTTCAGCAGTTTCCTGTCGATAGTGTAAACTTACAGTCCTCTCGTGTCACACGGAATGGCGGAGAGCAGAAGCTCTGGAAAACGTGTTTACCGAGGACAAGTAATTAAAACGCACACACAAAGATAAATTAATGAAATGTAGTGGTTTACTGTGACAAAGACGCAACATACCCGCTTTTAACAGTGCCAATTTAGACGGACGGCCTTTCTAAACACCGCAGCCGAGTCACTGGGTTTGATATTAAATTTGCACGTTGCTCCAACTATTAAACGTGTTATCGGTAAGAGGCAATGTTTCTATGTGGCATTTACCAAGACACTACAGCTTCAAGGTGAATTGAATTCTATACTCGCACAAACTATAATTTACTGTCCTCTTACTGTCAGAATAAAAACTGTATTCGGTCTTGCGGCAGGGGGTACTAGGCGAGAATGCGCAGAGATGTATTAATACGCGATTGAAAACATATGCTGATTCTCAGTTCTCTACAGAATTTGTAACAAGACTAGTAGGGGATAATGTTTTTACGACCGCATTTAGCAAGACTTCAAGGTCGAAGAAATTCTCAGTATACTTTATGGCCGACTCTTGCTTCAGAGAAAGTGAAGCGGAGAAAGTAAGACAGAGGGTTTCTATGTCAGTCGCGTCAGGAGAAGTGACAGATTATCTGCACGTGTTGACACACATTTGTCCTTAACTGGAGTTGCATTTTTTTTGTACAGTATTACACACGACATTTAGTTCTGCGCCACTAAATTTTACGGTTGCCAATACGTCTCTGTACTGCCCATACGAGCTCTACATTTACTTAGTAGTTGTACTTTAAGAATTAATATTTTATGCTCGCTATTACACTGATTAGTGCTGGGCACAGACCCAATAACAATTTAAGTTTTAATTTATAATGTAATATCATAATAAGTGAGTACTTTTACATACAAAGAAAGGGATCCCAAAAATCGCAGTATTTTTGCAGAGAGGGTAATTTTGAAACAATACTCTGAAATTTAATTAAGTTAAGTAGACAGCACACAACACACCAGACAGTAGCGTATTAAAGATGAGCAGCGATACACACACAAGGAGCCTGCACAGAATAATACGTGAACAGTGCTGGACATAGAGCGGGTATCCCTGTGATTTAAAACTTTAAATTTTAAATTTTAAATTAGAATTCTAAAATCAAATTGACGAGCGTTTGTTGGCGAGATTTTAAACAAAACTGAGAGGCTGGTGTTTTAGATTTTAGATTGTGTGCAGTGTGACATCTACGTAGTGAAAAATACACCTGATGATGGCTGGTTGCCGCCGAAACATGTAGTGTAGAGGAAGAAAAGACTAAGAACTACAACCAAATAAATTGTTTCATTCACGGCGGCATTTGTATTATTAGATATAGAAGCTAAGAAAAACTCAAGAATGAAATTACACAGAAATACGTACCTCTTTCATTCCTATTTATGGCAGCGAAATACGAATAATAAAACAGCTGGGCACAAATATGCAATGGTTACGGCGAATGACATGGTTCAATCTTGTCGACCATAAAAGATGGGAAGAAATTTTAGAAGAATCCAAAATTGAAACTTCTGGAAATAACTGGTTTTCGGCTTTTAAAAAAACTGAACTGCCACGAGAGAAAGACAACGACTAGGATTGAAGACTAAAAACAAGTAGAACACATGAAGGCTGATGAACAGGCCTGCCTTAAGGCGCGTCCACATTACTCGTGCTCGCCAGGCTTGTGCTTGTTGGAAGACTCGTCTGGCTTTTACTTGTGCTCTTAAATCTTCGTCCACACTACTTCAGTTGCTCGCCAGGCTTCGGCGCGTGAGGATCCGTATATTTACTCGTAGTGCGTATAGGCTGTAGTCGTATTTTAATTTATTGGCTATAGTTTTTAAATTAAAAATTTTAAATTTGCTTGTCTCGTGACTTGTCATATCGTCCACATTACTCGCGAGCATAGCGAGTCACACGAGCACGAGCAATGTGGACGCGCCTTTAAATAGACTACTTTCATGTTTAGATGATCAGGAAATCAGACTCTTCTCATTCAACCTTTCCTGTATGCCGTTACCAGCAGAATTAACCTCAAGAGAGGTGAGTTTGTGAGATTGGTCTTGACAAATTTTCCGTGGCAGCAAAAACTCCTGAGGCCTCCATGAAATAAGGGAACAGTGACGCCGAGTTTGTGGCTGTGCGGGCTACCAAGGTGCTTCCATACTATACTTGTGTGGAACGGACGTAGACTCACACGCGGAGGAAGGACAAATATGTGACATGCGAGGACGTAGTTCAGAACCACGCAACGGCCGACACACGTTCAACAAAAACAAACTCCGTGGCCTGTAGTCCTCAAGCGAACTATACCGACCGAGCGACCGCCGCTTGTCGGCGAAGTTAGTGCCAACTTTTTGCGGAGAAAGGGTGTCACGTGGTCAGCGTAACGGATCCCTACGGCCGTTAATCTCAGTTGTCTAGGCCGGAGCCGATATTTCCTTGAAAGAGCTCCTAAATTATCCTCACGAGGCTGAGTGGACCCCGTTTCAGACCCACTACTTCTCAGAAAATCTGGTAGCGCCGGGAATCGAACCCGGGACCTCTGGATCTGTAGCCAGGAACTCTGACCACTACACCACAGAGACGGTTGACGTGAGTTCTATATGCAGTTGGAATACAGACTTTACGGCTAAATCCTAGAGCCCAAGACTCTGGCTGATTATGCTGGTTTGGCTCTTGAAACCGTTCACACTTACAGAAACACAGGAGGCGGAATTTGGCTCCTAGCTCACGCTGGAATACTTCGAATGTACCTTATGGAGAGGTACTAATGTGTACGATAACTAGGGACCGGATTTTTGTGCCCCAATAAATCTTAAATGTGTATGCATTTATGCATGAAGAAATTCCAAAATATGCACGTGAAATGTGCACATACAAAATTCATATCAAATATTAAAATTGATTTTACATTTCAAAACCAAAAAAAAAAACATTTAAGTTAATTTTATGTAATCATTGAATGATTCACTCGCAATGAAACGCTATACTTAAACACAAATCATGCAACAAAGACAATATTTTTTCATTAAAAGTTAAAAACAAATGGTACTCATATTTAGCTCTCCAACCTTTCAACTTCTCTTCTGCTGCAGTTCACATTTACTAAATGTTTTAGGTTTGCCATAGTAAGTCGCCTCCTGTTGTCTCGTAAGATGTCCTTATTGCGGGAAAAAAACATCTTTCCATCTCACAGAAGCTTAAGGGCGCATGTACAAAAGCCACTATTTGCTCCACTGTTAGTGATTCTGTACTTGGCAGGTCAGTACGTTTACCGGCTAAAATTTCTTAAATTTCAGAAATTTGTTCATATCCTAATTTTTTGACAATGCTATGTACCTTTCCCTTTACTACTTCAACTCTTCCAGGAACCGAATTCAATTTGGAAACAACAGTGGTTTCTTATACACTTAACAACTGATACAAAATAGTATTGTAATATATAGTAATGGAGCTTGCCTCCAGTGAGGAACTGGCGGATGGAAGACAAGTGAGCAGTTATACAGGAAATAGTAGTGTCAAGTTCTGCGTTTTCTTAGTACATCTTGGGCAATTTGAATTGATGCTGCACTTTTGGGATCAAATGTATTCATGACATTCCTAACTGTTTCTAAATGTTTGGTAAAATAACTCACTGCACAGAGCCAAGTGCCCCAGCGCGTTAAAATTGCTTCTGGAGGAAGTGGAACTTTCCGTGTTCTTGCTTTAAAGGCTTCTTTTCTATTCGGTGCTTTAACAAATACCTTCTTCATAGAAGATACCAACTTGTCAACAAGTGGAATATTTGTACGAATTGTTTGTCACACGGTGCAACCCCTGGGCAAGAAGACCTTGTCATATTTGGAAATACTACTTTAAGCGCAGTACCGAGCCGCGCCATAGCTCAAGCGGTTAGTCGCTCGCTTCCCACCGCGGCGGCCTGGGTTCGATCCCGGGTCTGGTCAAGTGGAATTTGTGGTGGACAAAGTGGCGCTGGGGCAGGTTTTCTCCGAGTACTTCGGTTTCCCCTGCCAATCTTCATTCCACCAATTGCCCCACAATCACCCTCACCTATCATCTGGGGCTGGTACAATAGGCCAGAAGTGGCCGCAGTGCAAGGGACTTAGTCCCACCCCACTAGCAATAAAAAAAAAGGCAGTACCCGATCTGATCATACAACTTGCGGCATCAGTCACAAAGAGCAATACGCGCTCATACTGAATGCCATTCGGCCATAGGAAACTCATGGAATCGATCAAAAATTCGGAAACTGCGGAGCTATTTTTGTCAAACTGCTCTACTGCAAGAAGATATGTAGTATTGTTCATTCTTATTAAGGATAGTAAAGTTGTCCCTGGCCGGTCACGGTAGCCGAGCGGTCTAAGGCACGCACTGTCTTCGCTCGCTCGGAAGCCGGGATCGTGGGTTCGAATCCCACTCAGGGCATGGATGTTTGTGTGCGTTTGTCTGTGTTTGTGTACAGGTAGAGGCCTTGCGACGAGCTGATCACTCGCCCAAGGAGTCCTACCGAATGTGTAAGATCTAGTAAACCGAAGTGAAACGGTGAGTTTCATGGAGGTAGGCCTAG